GCATACAGGATAGTTGAGAAATTAAAGAAATATATACCATTTACCTCTCTTACTGAATTTTAGATGAAGGCCCTCCACCTACATCCAGCCAAGCATTTTTATTGTTGATCTGACAAAATGTTATCCTAATCTTTAAAACTCCGCTCCATAGCGCTACTAGTGATCACAAAGTCCTCCAGGGACAATTCAAGTTTCCTTTTAATATTAAGAACCTCATTTCACACACACAGACAACCAAGGGCAAAGAATTACAAGGACTTAAAGATCACAGGCGCTCTTTGCAGATCAAACCATGAGGGAAGGCGTGGAGGGTGGGATGGGTTTCAAACACAACTTCAGATCAGGATCAGGGTGAGAGGAGTTTGTAATAAGCATGGATTAAAGGGCAGATTATAGTGGAGCTAATGAGAACATAAAGAGATTAGATGCCAGGATGTCTTGGAGACATGGAGTAGTTAATACAGACCATAGAGAGAGAGAGAGAGAGAGAGAGAGAGAGAGAGAGGCAGCTGACAACATGTGTAATAAGATTGAAGGGGAAGAGTGTGCAAGAGGGGGAGAGTGGAGGGGGGGAAAAGTCTGGTCGAGCAAGAGATTCCTGAGTGCAAAAAGAAGGTAGAGAGACATAAGAGATAAACAGAAAGAGGCCTCTGAGAGCAACAGATATGAGAGAGCAAGGAAAAGGTGGAGACTGTGATGTAGAGAAAGAGGCCTTAATAAATCTATATGAGAGCCATAGAGACGGAGAAAACTGTGGTGAGGACGAAGGGAAGTAGAGGTTCTCAGAGTAAATTGATGGACAAGGGGCTTAGGAGACGAGGAAGATCGACACATTTGGAAGAGACAGGGGAGCAAGGCAAAGACTCGTAGACGGATTAAAAAGAGAAAAGTGGAGACAACACAAACAAACATGTATTTGTGTAGATAAATAAAGAACAAAGACAAAGACAGGGGAACACAGATTATCGTTCTCTTTTTTAACATTAGACACATTGCATTATCTGCAGCTTTCTTTCGCTCGCCCTCGCTAATCTGCCTCCCTGTAGTATCCCTAAAAGGACAGAGACGATAAGAGGATAGGAGGCCTAACAAAGAGGCTGCAGAGGAAAGACACCAGGCTCGCTGCACAACAAACAGAAAATGCAAACAAAAGATGACAACAAAGAAGAGACACTAACAATTCTCTGATCCACAACTTTTTGAAAACTCCCCAAGATCGAAAAAATGAATGTGTATTTGGAAGGATATGTTTGTCCTTTTCCAGAGCCCCTGAGAGGGAGGGTCATTGAACGGATGTGAATGTAAAAAAAACAAAGTGCCCCGGCCTTGTGCTTCATTCTTATTTTTGCCCTTTCTTTTCTCTCTAAATGATAAAAGAGAGAAACTAAAAAAGGAACTGATTCACTTCCACTCTCCTGAGAGATCAGTGCAGTTTAACGGTTTACATTTTCATCTGTGCATGTGTGTGCTTTCTTAATGTACATTCATATTCAAACCAGCACCTGTCACTCAGCAAGTCAGAAAAGGATACTCAGGCAAAGGCGGTAATAATCAGTCCTTTAGGTGTAATGACTCCAGGAAAGGTGACGTCTCAGACAGGTTTATGAGCAATTCAAATCCAGGTTATGAATGTCAATCTGGCATTTCATCTCCAACTGACCACCTTTTAATAAAAGCCATCATTTCCCAGACGGGGGGGTTATCTGCAACCGAGCATGTCCAGTGCCATTTTGGATCCACTGACCTTTAAGTTCATATTCTTGACTGGCAGGGGTGTGGTGCCTCAATATAGGCTGAGTGTGATGCATGAACTTGTGTGTTTGGTATGAGTGCTTGAAACGGATAGTCCCATGACCAAGATTAGAAAATCTGTCCTTAAAGCTATTGGCCAACCTTTCACCCTCTTTCAGAGCACAGAACATGCTTCTACCCCAACTTTACCCTCCTCCCCACAACCCAACTTTTTTATTCCATCAGTGTGGAATATGCCACTCACACACACACACACACACACACACACACACACACACACACACACACACACACACACACACACACAATGCCCTTTCAGCACAGACACACGCTGCTCATCCTCATCCTCATCCTCGTCTTTGCAGGGCCCTCTCTCCTCGTCTCTCCATATGAACTCCCGCCAATATGATTATATCTCTCCTCCCATATATCTCCATTCATCCATGCTGTCGGCTTCTCATCTCCCCCGCTCCACACCTTCCCTCCCTCTCCTCTCGTCAGTTGTTTGTTTTGGCAGAGCTTAAACAAAATCACGCAGGAGACTTAAACTGGCACGATGTTTAGCTCCCACTTCACCTGATGCCTCACTGTTATTCCTATAGCTCCTCTCCTCTGCCCTCTTCTATTACTCAGCTGTAAGAGATGAAGTCTCCTATTGGGTATTTTATGACATGGCAGGATGAGACTTTGGGCTTCTCGGACATTAAATCTGTATCCAAATATGCAGATTCTTATTTAATGCTCGATGTTTCACATACATATCACATATATTTCTCTATATATACTGTATATAATGCTGCAGCCAACATGTCCTCCTCCTAAGTTTTGATTCCGGTCCGGAATGGCTTGTATTTTTTTTTATCAGAGAAGTAGGCAGTTTTAAGACACCACCACACGGCTGTTTTGGATGTCCCTCGGTTAGCCAGACATGAGACCAGTTATCATGCCAAACAAGCAGGTGTTGCAGCGATGGAAGCGGGCAAGCAACCTGCTTAGATAATTGATTCTCTCTGACGTAAAATCCTTGGCATTTTTCTAAAAAGCTCCACGACCAGAAACAAAGACAAATAAGGATAAATATTGGAGATGCTTTTCAAAATATAGAGAGAAGTTAGAACGCAGAAAAGTTTCAAGAACAACGCAGAGCTGGTTATACACTGAAGCTTCAGGGTCAGCGACATGGACACTGAAGATCTAGGGAGGAGGGGGCGGGGGGAGACAGCTCCCTCCAAATGTTTTGAATTAGGACTGCAGAACCCCTTTTGAAAGCTAGGTGTCAGAGTTACATACAGTAGTTCCTTTTTGGCTGGCGTCAGGTCCAGCTATTTGCCTGACACTAGGTTGACTGAATATTAGTTTGTGACAACATTTCCAATACAGTGACAGGCTTCAAAAGTCAAATTCAGAAAGCAATGGGTATCATCACTGAGACTATGTCCATGTTCTATACAGTCTATTGTCTGTACAGCAGCCTGTAGAAAGCAGAGGACGATTCCCTTTATGAGGCCAATAAACCTGCAGGTCATGAAGGCCAAACAAACACACAAAATGAACACACACAGGCGGAGAGTGTATTTAATACATACATGCACATCCATTGCTTCTTCCTGTAGTGGAAAAGTAAAAAAAGTAAAATAATACAACATATATATCCTTTCTCAATGTAATTGTGCTGCATCAAAGTGTCCTTCACTTCCCTGCCGCAAAGAAATCTGGCTCAGGAGATTTCATTGTCTGATGGAATTTGACAAAGTGATATTGACAATGCAGCTTATTTTCCCAGAATAAAGAGGGAAACGTAATATTGTTTCATCCTCTCTTGCTGTTATCGTGATTTATTTCCAGGTACTAAAGTATTTCCACCTATCTCTCCGCCTTGTTACTGTCTCAAGCAAGAATACATTATCCAGGCAGAGCAAACAATATTACATTTGTTATTGAAAAGCAGGGATCCTTCACCTCATATTTTGTCCTAAATACACACCATCATATTAGGCACACAAAGAGGTGTCACTTATTTTTGTGCACATCTGTTGTGCATCAACAGATACATTCACACAAACATTTAAATATACAAAGATTCACACAAATATATGTAAAAGCAGCTTTGACTGCATGTTAAAGTAAATCTTTAAAAGGCCTTTTCTAATTATGTAGTAGTTTCATAAAGAAGCTTCACCATCATTACTTCTTCACTTTTATAATGATTCTGCAAAGGCATGATATTGGTATCCCAGTCTGTGAATCAATGAGTAGAAAACAGCAGTGCTCCACTTGCACACACACACTCAGAAATGCACACACACACAGCTGGCTCTGCTGTTTTACAGCAGTCCTGTCTCACCCCTATAACACCTCTGTTACTACCTCCAATGCCTGCACAGAGTGTGGTTGACTCTGGTCCACCGTTATACCCCCAGGACATTCATATTGAAGCGAGTCCTTACAGGGGTGTAAATATAGCACCTTGAACTGGCAATATGAAAAGGGCTTAAAGTCACAGGTGTGATCTGTGACTGAGTGTGCCTGTCAGTCTCAAAGGCTTTTACCATCCAGCTGTGTAAAAGATGTGGAGTAAATTAATTTCATTCACCATGCAGCTGCTTGCTGTCAATATAAATCACATTAATGCGACAGAGTCCTCTAACAGGTAATGATTTAACAATAAATCACCCGTTACTCTGCTTAATTACCCTAACAAAAGTTTGTTGTTTTTTTTGTGCTGCACTTTTTGTGTAAAGGACATAGTGAACATTAGGGACATGCCCCAGGCCTGTATTTCCAGTTATATTTTTCGCTTATTACATGTTCTTGGTATGATGTCGGGTACCAGCAGTGCTTACTGACCAATCAGCAACTTGCATTGTCATTCATATAAATCGCCTTGGAGTTAGGTGCTTTAAGCATTACAAGGTGACAAACATCCTACAACTGAATCCGACAGAAGCTCAAAATCCCTGTTGGTGTTAAAATACATTAAAACCTTCTAAAGACCAGGGCTGGGAATCTTTGGGTGTCTCACGATTCAAGTTGATTTTGATTCTTGGGTTCACAATTTGATTCAGAGTCTATTTTCGATTCAAAACGATTCTGGATTCATGATTCAAAGTACATTTTTAAATGAGTACATACTTCAGGATCTACTCAGGTCATCTTTGAGACTGGCTGAATTTCTTGAATATCTTTCTTTTTTTCCAGAAACAAGCTACATTTTTCATTTCTGTATTGTTTGTCTGTTTTCTCTCCAGATGGGACTCCCTACACTTGGTGGGTGGGTCGTGGCAGTGAGAAGCATTTCTACTGGGGGGGCTCCGTGCCTGGAGTCCAGAAATGTGCCTGCGGCATCGACAGAAACTGCACTGACCAAAAGTACGACTGCAACTGTGACGCTGACCACAAGCAATGGTAAGACAGACTTTAATCAGGAGCACAAACACATTGCCATGTATTGATTCATTTCCCAACAATGTCAGCTCTCGGCTTCCCTTAAAGAAAGTATTAGGATATATTCCTACCACTGGGATCTGCCTTGTATTGTTGATACTGTTTTACCACAAAAGCAGTATTACCTGAACAGGCATAGGGTCTTACTTTTAGGTCCTTCAGGATCTGAAGAGTTTAACCACCCTCGTATTTTTCTACCCTAGAATTATTTAATATTGTTCAAAGTACTGTACGTCACCTTAGTTGTGCAATCAAAATGACTTTATTTTCATGAGAATTTGTAAAGGTCATTGTACCTGAGTGCTCATTATGTTTCACAAGTACATATTCTGTTTTTCACTGTGGATGACATTCAGGCATGACAAAAACAATGTTCTGAATCCGTGCACAACCTCTATAAAGAACAGAACTTCTCGCCTGAGAGAGTCTTAATGATTGCATATCTATATCATCCAGAACTTAAAAGTGAAATATGTCAGACCCCTGGAAATTTGGATGGGACTATGTCACCGTGGTGACAGTAATATTGTCGCTGCTGCTAATGCTAATGTTTTCATGAATCTGTCAGAACAGAGTCTGCCTAAGCTGGATGCTCTGATGAAGAGCCTTACTTCAAAGTGACTGAATGATGGATTCTACCATCAATGATGCATTTATTTAAGAGTGATGTTTGCCTCCACAACCAACAGTTTGTGTTTCAAAGCTCTTTTAGCAAGCTGATGGATATTCCCATCAGACCAATAGTCACCATCAGTGTGTGTGTGTGTGCGTGTGTGTGTGTGCCGACTGCAAGGAGAGAGTTAATTTTCTTTCGTCTCCGTTCTCATCTCTCAAACTGATGAGATTCCAAATAACTTTCACTCTGTTTTGTTCTCTTCATTCATATTTTATGTATCGATGTCTCATTGTTTTGCCGAGTGACTTTTAGAGTATTTCCCACATTTTTATTTCAGATCATTTCCTCGATTGTTAACAGCACATCAAACCTAAATGCACATTCAAATCCATAAATGGGATCACGTTATAGACCACACATGGTGTTTTACTACCAAACTAAAAATGACGGCAAATTATTAAAATCAAATACATAGTTCTTTGGGGTAATTTAAAATGTGTTGTACTCAAAGCCTACCTAGACTTCTTAATCTGAGTGCAAGAGAAGGTATTACATTATTTTCTAAATGTAAAAGCGATATTGATTGATTTCATTCTTCTGGTAGATTTATTCATTTAGTTGATTTATTCTCTTTATCAACCATTGATTATTCATATATTAATTTATCTATTCACTGAGCCGTCCTTGCATCCAAATAATAACTAAATACATTAACAATGTATGTGGAACTACTGTGATTCATTCAATTCTTAATCCATCAGGTTGTGATATATATTATTCTGTTTGTGTAACATACTTTTGCAACATGTGGTTTTCTGTCTCATAATATAAAATTTGAATAATGTCATATATTAAAGTTAATCATTAGATGTTTTTATTTTTTTTCTCATGATGTAACACACATAAATAAATATGTTTATTTAAGCATATTTATATGTAAAGTGATGTAGTGGCCCTGATTATATGCAGTTATACTAGCCTTCATAACACAGCTTTACTGGCATAGAGATTATGAATAAAGGCTTATGTATGGTGTCTTTATAATCCATATAAACTACCCATGTTCTTTCATGTACCTATATGTAATCGAGGACTCTATACATACAACTTTTCTGCTGGGACACTGTAACTGTGCCTCCGATAGGGGAGGATTGTTATCTTCCCTTCAGTTCAAAGTCAGAATCAATGTTTGGCAGCTATTAAGAGTGCACATAAACACACCACAAGTATTTCTTTGGTACCAAAGAGAAGCCTTATCAGCATGCAGATAGTTATTAATAGCAGAGCCATGTAATCATACATGCATGTTTATTTTAACTCGTCTTACAGGAGAGAAGATTCTGGTCTCCTGATTAATAAGGAACACCTACCGGTCAGCCAGGTTGCCGTGGGCGACACTAACAGACCAGGCTCTGAGGCTAAGCTGACCGTTGGACCACTCCGTTGCCAAGGAGACAGTAAGTGATGTGTTAATAATTGATTATTTTGAGTGATGGGCAACTATTACAAAGTATTTTAGAATCCAGGACAGTTAAAGATTGATGGTGGATGGATATAAAATAAATATTTATATTTATAATATATTTAATATAAATTTTTATCTGAGATGTAGGCTACTGGACTAACAAGGAGTTTAGGATTTCAAAAAAAGATTTAATCAGGGAAACACAAGAAGTAATTTAAGACAAATGCTGTGTTTAATTAAATAAAATGTTGCAGTGCTGTTAATGTTGGTACATACTGATTTACAAGACCTATATATATCTAAGAACAGACACTGTCTCCAAATTTGATTAGAGTGTGAGACTGACTTTCATTATGCTCTGTTGTATAACATGAATGGAGACCTGGTCCCTGTGAGTCCAGACTGTGGGACACACAGGAAGTTCTGCTCTAGGATACCAAGGTGTGCTCTGATTAAAAGCGGGTGAAAAGGTCAGTTATATAGCCAAGAGCTGAATCACACTGTTTCTTCAGAACTATCAGTCTGGTCCTACACTGAGCTTCATACCTACAGGGAGCCTGCACAGAAAATGAAAACTGGTTTAGCATTCTGGATTAGCTGCGGGTGTGAAAAAGGCCGTCCTCTGAGGCAAAAGAGGCGCTGGTCTAGTTGAAAGGAAATCTGTGAGTTAATGACTTTCTCCAAGTCAGAAGCTGAGAGCGGTGGTTTTAATTTGAAGATGATTGTACTGTGGAGGCACGACTGCATAACCTTTATGAACTGCTCATCAAAGGTTGAAGTCAGAGACACCACCTGTTTCTTTAACATAGGGATTATTAAAGGTCCAATGTTTACAACTTTTTAACAGGAGGGGAGCAAAACTATATATTTTTTTCATGTGATGTTAAGTTATAAAAAACTAGTTAATGGTACTTGAGCACAGTGTTGAAGCAGTTGGTGTTATGAGGTGTGACAATTCTCTCTTGTGGGAGAATTTAGAGAGAGAATGAGACAGCGTGCACATAAAGGTCACTAGGATGTACAGTGTTGTAATGATAAGGTTAATCCTACCTATTAGGAGTGCTCTATGATGTCTGTTGAACGATGGCAGTGTTGTGTCATAAATGGCAACACTGCTAGAGCAGGTTTTACTTCATGGACATCTGAACCAAAAAAAAGAAAAGAAAAAAAGAGTCTGCATTCGCTTTTATGTTGAGACCAAAGAAGGTCATTTGTGACCCTCAGGAGGACGGTCTCTTTCATGCAGGGTAGCAGCCTAAAACCAGACTGGAATCATTCCAAAACTTAATTAAAACTGAATAAATGAGCTGTGAGGATACTGCATTCTGAATAACATACATAAAAAGTGTTGGCAAGCCGGTCAAGAACATCATTAGATACTGAAACTTTTGACTGATAAACTCCTGTGTATTTTATGCAGAGGATTTTTAAAAGGTTTGAAAGACACATGCTTTTGTCTGACATACTTTAATATAATAGACAACACACTCAGGATGTGTTTAAATGCCCTGCACCAGCAAAAGTGATGTGACTCCTGACTCTTTTTACTCACCAGCTTCCCATCTTGACTCAACCTCTCCATGCATTTTCTGTACTGAGTGGTAAACTTAAATAAACCAAATCAGTGATTCATGTTTTATCCCTGTTGATGTATTTAGGTTTGTTATAGTAAATAACTTATATAATAGGACTGGAGAGAAAAGTAGCATGTATGTTTGAATAGTAACTGGCTATAATTTTACACTTACTCCACGTTTTTACAGACCAAAGGTGATATGCAATTCACAGCTGCAACAGGGGAGAGAAGTATCATGTATAATCTATTATCTAATAAAAAAAATGTATTTTTTCAAATACAGGAAATGGGCTCTGATGGCATAGCAGTTGAGTCACACCTCATGTTTGGAGGTTTTATTGTCCTCCAAGTGGCCTGGGTTCAACCTGTGGCTCCTTTCCTGATCGTCATTCCCCACTCTCTCTACCTGATTTCCTGCTCCCTAATAAAAAGGCAAAAGACCAAACATATTCATCTTAAAGAGGATGTACAGGATTTTTTTTGCTATACAATTAATTACAATTAATGATTAATAATTACAATAATTTAATTTTGAGTCAGTGAGTCAGTCCGGGATCATCAGTATTTCGTGACTGTTTTCAATGCTTCACAGTGGGAGCTTAAAAAGAAACCGCCTTGCTGTCACATTTGTACCAGCTTGTGGAAAGTGTTGTTTTTAGAAAACATTTTGATGATAAGAATGTCCTGCTGGTGGTTATATGTATGTACATATGAAGTAACCGTGTTGGTGTCTTTCACCTGCTAATTGCCTCCACAGCTGTTTGTGAGTGAGGGGCCATCTGGTTACTTTGGTTAAGTAGCTAACACCAGCAAATTACCGACTGTTGGCTGCCTTTAATAACTTGATGTTGGCAGAGCCATCAATCCTCCCCATCCTGTCTTCAAAATAATGTCACTTCTGTCTCCGGAATGCCACACTTCAGGCTTCAAAGACAGCAGTCATCTATTCAATTGGTGACATAATGGTGGCTACTTCCATTACTGAGACAATCATTGTTCACTAGGCAACTCTCTAGAAAAGAAACAGTATTTTTACCATCTTCTTCCCCGCTGAGCAACATATCCTGGTCACTGTAACCTTGAGTACCTCGTTTTTCTTTACGGGCCTGAATTGATCCTTGGAGGCAACTAAGAGCCAAGAGGCTGCTCACTTAAAACCCCTCAGGCCTGCTGTGAATGTTCTCTGATCTCTCCTGATTGTGACCTGAACACAAAGGAGACTTGAACTATCAAAGTATCATGTTTTTTTTAAAGGCTAGAACAATGGTTCAACGTATGTCTTGGAAATGAATTTGAATACGTTCCTGACTTCCTACATATGAGAGGCTTCTTACCAGAGCTGCATCATACAGTGTGGTGATTTTGTTTTTTGAGACACCCTCTTGTTTTTTTTTTCGTCTCAAATGAAATATTTGAGCAGCGTGTAGGGACGTAATCTGCTGTATGGTGAAACAAAGCACCATCGAGATTTAGTGCAAAGTGATAACCTGAGGGAAGGTAAGGTAATCATATATTCAATCTGTAGTGCAAGGCAGTGCGATCATTATCATAAGAAGGCTTCATATATTATCTATTGACTGCTCAATTTTCATTGCAAAAGGAATAATTGAGTTGAGCTATGCAATCTCAGTGTGCTGTGAGTGTAGGTATACAGCGAAGCATACCACTTGTTTTGCAAACTCTCCAAGCCCTGATTTTTATTTTTTTTTCAAATTTTTCCTATCTGTTCATCCGTCCAAGACAGGAAGTGTCCTGGTTCTGTCGAGGGCGCAAAACATGACGGAACACCCTGCCCTCCTCACGGGTACCACACTCATTATGGTCCCTTCATCAACAATCTGCCAACAAACCAACCATGAAGTAATGACCCATGACATCACATCTGTCTGTGTGTGTGGGTCTATCATGTTGCCGTATAGCAGACACAATTACTGGAGATGAATCCCCCTCGAACATTACGGTGCCATATTCCCTTTGTTTGACTTTATTATCAGCTGCATGTGTGTGTGAGAGTGAAGACAAAGAAAGAGTTATCTTGACTTGTGTTTAACGAACCAAATGAACAAACTAACTCTAAAACAAAGATGACAAATATGTTTGCAAAACTGCTGGTCAAGACACTGGAACACTGAGCATACATTATATATTGGCCCATTAAGGCATATTAAACATATATTAAAAATGTCACACGTGAAAAGGTACTACTTGTATGATTGATGCTTCTCATACTGGGCGTGAAGCTCTGTCTCAGTAAGAGCAATGATGATTGGCCGCCATTTAATGGGTTTTTCTTTGGAAATGACTAATGTCTCGGGCAGTAAGTGAAAAGTTTTAGTGAAGAGGTGTGTGTGTGTGTGTGTGTGTGTGTGTGTGTGTGTGTGTGTGTGTGTGTGTGTGCACATGCGCTCCAGCATTAATGAAGCCCATTTCCATGGCTAGTTTAGTGGCAGCCTGTACAGTCTCAGGCAGACAATTAGTCCCAGTCTTTGATGTTAAAAGGGTTTGGACGTTTTAATACTTTAGAAATTAAAATAAATGACAGCAAATGGAGCAAAAGGCAGTATGTGCTATTTTAACAATGTAATAACCTGATTGAGATAGACTCAGCCACATGACTGACCAGAAATAATAGCTACAGAGGTCACCCAGGGCAGGTCAAAAATGAAGGTTGAAATGCTAACCTTTAGAATCAGAGTAACTGATGTCATCTTAATAAACTCTCTAACACATTTATTCTCTGGTGAATACAGAGGCCTCAAAGTACCAAAAGGTCCTCATTTGTATCTAGTGCAAACAAGTTCATTCCCTGTATGAGCAAATGATTATCTTGTGCAAAAAAAAAATGTTTTCCCTTTGTGCAAAGGATAATAATTTTGTTGTAACAAGTTATTGTCTTGTGGGAATAAGCTACCCTAAGCACATATATATTCTCAAATGGCAACCTCCATTGTTGTAAAGTGAAGCCAATGTGGAAGGGCAAAATCCTGCAGTTTGTCAAGGGTCTGCTTGAGGCTGGAGCCCCAGAAGTCACATACACACCACATTCAAAAATACATGTTGCTATAGCATAAAAAAAAACATGTTTAACGCCTGGTACAAATAACAAGTAATAAGTGAGTTATAAGTAATTGTGTTGCTATGTAGTCTGTGATGCTGTGATTAATTATTTTCTTTAAATCTGTATTTACATGCACTCTATATGTGTGTGTCTTTTTGTGTGTGTGTGTGTGTGTGTGTGTGTGAAAATGTCCTTGTTACTGACCTGGGATAGAGCAGTCAGTCTTCTTTAGCATCTGCGAGTATACTGGCTCATAACCCATCTGGTCAAGCATAGACACATGAATCATCTTGTTGGCTTCCAGATCCAAACTTCAGCCCAGACTGTATCTCACATCATGTCAGCTGCTACAGCTCAGTGGGCGTAAGGGATTTTTCAAATCACTGTGGTGTAATCCAGAGGTCAGCAGCTGTTTTCATGCAGCATAATGTTTTAATCAAAAGCACTGATCGGTTGGTCTAAGTGATGTTCATGACAAGCTTGTTACCAAACATGTACACGAGAGGAGCCAGTGAAAAGTGAAAAAAAATATTTAAGAGGAGGTTTGGTCAGCTGCAGGTGTTCTGTTTTTCTTGGTCTCCATTAGAATTGTGTTCTATTGATCCCAGCAGTAGTGTTGAACCTGGATTCTCCTGTTGAAGGATGTTTCATTTGTGATATTAGTGTGAAAACGAATAAGGTCGTTCACACTATTTCAGCTGAAAACTGCAACTTATTGTTTCGGCTGATCGTTTGCATGACACCACAGCAAAACAATGATGGACTCCTGAGTTCTGTTTGTGAAAATGTCGACTGGCATGACTCACAGTCGACATTTTCTTGGTATTTACTTGCTTTGTAGATTAGGGTTACTGGGAGTAGAAACCTCACCCCATCATCTGTCCATATGAACATTCATGTGTTAGCCATTTTTGAATGTTTACACCTCACCACTCTGTAGAAAGAGTGTGTGTGCATGTTGTTTCATTACAAAGTCACATCACCAACTACTGGCATATACAGTATACTACAGCGTCTTTAGTCGTTTCTGTGGATCTGTGTGCATGGCGGCTGTCATCACAACGTTATCGTCTGAACACAGAACTTTTTTTTAAAGCACAGATGAATAACGATTTTCATTTTTTAGAGGCTCATGTAAACATGGCCTAAAGATATTTTTCAACCAGAATGATGCAGTTCAGCATACAGTGAACATGATATTTTTTACTTTCAAATGGCATGGCAATGTGTCGCTTAGTTGGTATAACATTTTGCAAACGTGTTGTGGCAAACGAGAAAAAGCAGCTGGATTGCCAAAGTCAGCAGGATACATATTAAAGGTAATATAAATGTTTGCACCACCCAATTGGACCAATTCCCTAATATTGCCGTACTTACAGCCATGCTGCTAGCAGTGGCTGAACATCAGTAACAACTAAGTTATGTTCCACTCATCCAGACCTTACTGTCCTTCTACTCTGCAGTGAGTTTGATTTAGATTTTTGTGTGCATTGTGAAGTCTTCAAATACTAATTTAAATTGAATTATAATAACAGGCAGAAAAATATCATTGAGACCATAAAAAAAATGCTTTGCATTAATCTGTTTTAATTTTATTTTGTTCATGTGCTGCAGATCTTATACTGTATGATTGATTAATAAGGGGGCGTGGCTTCATCACAAACAGGAGGTTTTGTCAACACATACATGAACTCTGTGTCTTCCAAGGCTGCTCTCGACCCGTTTTCTGTAGCAGGTGCCAGTTCATATCGTATTTTGTCAAGAAATCTGTGGCAGAAACAGCTGAGCATTTGTGGTGTCTCAGTCGGTTAGTAAAGACATTCATTTGCTGGATCAGGTTCTGTAACATTTGTTGGATAAACATTTCAATATGGGACGGTTAATGTGCCACAGAGCCGAGCCAATCAGCTGCATCTGTTGATTTGGCACAGGAGCAATCAGAGGTTTGGCTCCTCTAACGCTGCTTCTTCTCCAACACAGTCTGTCAACCTCGAGATATTCCGCTCTCCTTTCCTCCTCACAACATAGATCCTCTCTCTCTTTGCTACAACACTCCTCTTTTCTGACTTGTTCCCCCTCCTTCACTCAGAAGCATGACTCACCTGGCTCTCTTTTCTATATCCTTGTGTCCTTTAGATGTCTTTGTCAGCCTTCTTTTTACCATCTTGCTTGAAGCTCTTAAAGTCTTATTCAGTATGCTAGATATTGAATTCAAATCACAGAAAATGAGACTTTGGGTGCCATTAATGTATTTGTGATTTGCTGCATGAAGAGTGCAGGTGCAGGTTTACAGACGCTGAGACTTTTCCCAAAAATCTAATGAGAGCTGGTCTTCGTTTCTCTGTGTTTGTTTATCTTCGATTACATTCATCCACGGTTATTTACTGAGCCTGTGGTCAACGATTGTATCTGCTGTGACCTGTCCTCCCCCATTGAGCATGCAAAATGTGTTAAATTAAAGGGCAGCTCCTACAAGATTTTTACTTCATGACAGTTATTTCTGCAGAATACACAAACAAAAAGTATGCAAGTGCAATGCTTGTGAGTATCCACATTCTGACAAACAGCTACAGCATGTAAATGTACAGACACAGTATACAAATGATATCTTGCAATCAACAAAACATAGAGTGACAGTACATGAGTGTTGACCTGCTGTCCTTCTTTCTAGGACACAAATTGATGGCAAACACCTTATTTATTCCTGGGGCTTCTGCAGGTGTCCTCCTGTTTAGTCTTTAATTAACCCTGCTGAATAATTGGCTATCCCCCCCTAAAGAGAAATGAACAGTGTTTTAGCTTCAACCCCACTTATCACAGAGACAGCATCAGTAGGTGGTCCGTGTGTGTGTGTGTGTGTGTGTGTGTGTGTGTGTGTGTGTGTGTGTGTGTGTGTGTGTGTGTGTGTGTGTGTGTGTGTGTGTGTGTGTGTGTCTGTGTGTGTGTGTGTGCGTGTGTGTGTGCGTGGGGCATGGCTCCTTTCTGTCCTTGCCCTTGGTGACAGGATGTGCGCAGAGGAGGAAAGTGGGAATGCTCAGAACCTGCTATTGGGGAGCACTTATCACTCTGAACCAGGACACACACACACACACACACACACACACACACACACACACACACACAGACCCACACAGATGCATGGACACCGGTACATCTAACCCAGAGCCAAACACATACCACTTGTAAACATAAATTGAACAAAAGTTAGACACTTGAAAGTAGCTAAGTGCGACTTAAGATAAGTCACTTTATTTTGTGGATTATTTGCTAAACTAAAAATCAACTACAATTGTTTTTTCTTCTTCAATTAATCAATAACATTTTTACTGATATACAGGCCTTCTTCTTTTTTCTTTTTTAACTGTTGGTTTGACAAAATAAGCAGTGTAAGGATATCATCTTGCATAATAATCATTTCAGAATATATTCAAAAGTAACATTAGTTGCAGTTAACACACATTTCTTATACACACCCCTGCAGTGTACCCGCTGCTCCACTATCCCTGAGGTTATGATAGAGGGTTAAATGCCAATCCTCTGAGGAGTCAAAGAGATCGCACACAGCTAAATCCACACAAATCCTCTGCCCTCCACACACATATTTCCCTTCCCTCCTCTTCTGTCACCTGCCCTTTGCATGACTTTTATCTCCTCTTTTCCCTTCTTCACCACTCTACCCTCTCACCCATCATGGCCTCTTTTCTCAAATTCTGCCTTCTGTCCTTTCCCCCCGGCTCCTCTCCTGTTGCTTCCTCCCTCACTCTTCATCTTCAATGAGTGATAGGCTTTTAAACCTCTGCATAGAAGTCGAGCTGAAGGTTATGAATTAATAACTTTTCTAATAAAGTGAATCTGTATTTGAAATGAATGATTCCTACAATTCATTTATTCTGCAGCTGATCAGATGAGAACGTGTTAGCCAGAGTGTTAATGGAGAGCACAGTGTGGGACATGAGATGGGATTGTTCTGAGCTCTGTGTTGTTTTTTTTTTTTTTTTCACAGATAACTACTGGAACGCTGCCTCTTTCACCACCCCGTCATCCTACCTGCACTTTGCCACCTTCCAGGGTGAGACCAGCGCTGACATCTCCTTCTATTTTAAGACCAGCGCACCCTATGGAGTCTTTCTGGAGAACCTGGGCAACACTGACTTCATTCGCTTGGAGCTCAGATGTAAGAAACATCTGTCTGTATCTGATTAAAATGACTCAAGATAAGCCACAAAGTCTGTATTTATGAACTTGCAAACATAAACTCACACACAATAGCCCTTATAAGTACATCGTCTGTCCAGACTGCACATTAGGCAAGAGGAGATAGGAAGTGCGTGTGTGAGTATATATATTTTTATGTCTGTGTTTTTCCCAAGGCTTTTAAAATGCCCTCACATCGATTCACTATCATCTTGCATTTGGTCCCACAGCACACATTCAAGCACAATATCACAAAATGCCTGGCGTCCACACAAACGCACATAAACACACACATAACCTCTACGGTCTCGCTAGTGTAAAAAACTGTATCTGCTGCAATCCAGTCAGGTCCATGAAATGACTAGCATTAGGCTGGAATAGCATCACCATGCTGTTGCAGGAGCTCAAAGCACAAACACACACTTCATCCACACACGAGACCTTGTAGAGAACACACATTAACCGGGACCTCAGCAGACTCAAGTGGACACTTTTCCTCTTTGAATCTTAATCGAAAGAAGTAGGCATGGACACATTTGAGAGGCAGCATTCAAGAGGTGTACAGAAGCATGTGAACTTGGCTGCTAACAGGATTTAGGACAGACAGAAAGGTCCTGAGATACACAAACGCTCCAGCTCTGAGGAGCTCTGTAGCTCAGTAGAAATTAACGCCAGGTTTTGAGTCCTTAATAGACTGCATGGTGCCCATAGGTTATAAACATTTTTGGTCAGGGATCCAGAAACATATATCTACTTTCCTTGGAGACCTTAGCATTTAGAAATATATTTTGCCCTTTTATGTGTAAAGACCAGACAGTCACAAAGTTTACTGCTGAAGTTTAGCAGATATTCAGCTCTGACTTGACTGAGAAGTTGTCCTTCTGACTTGTTAAATTATATCAAGTTATAGCCTAAGAAAACTGCCAAAAAGGGAGAAACTGTCAGGACAAACTTGACTGCTGCTTCCAGCTACTTGAAGGTATAGCCAGCGCTCAGTTTGATTGAGGTAGGTAAATCAGGATTACTCAGATAGACAACAAATACTGGAAATTCAAATTTAAAGCTAGAGAGTACCTGTCAATGATTAGTCATCTGGTTTACCACAATACAAAACCAAAATGAACCATTTTTTGAGTGTTTAGTGTTTAATTGCAAATAACAGATTGAAAGGAAACCAAACTAGACTTCATCCAGATGCAGATTTGTAAACAAAATTCCCCTCAAGATATCGAAAACACTTTGGCTTTTATTCACCCAGCCTTCAAATGTCTCTTGGATGCTGAATTTGTGTTGTTGAACACCACACTAGTACCCTTATTTTCATCTCATGACTCCTTCAGGTCTCAGGCACAAATCTTGACTATTTATGTTGTCGCATTGCTAGGTAAATTTGCTTTTAATTTTGGTCTGAACACATGCTTAGGACTAATCAGGGAAATTGTTTTTTATGCACATTAACAGCAGCAGGTTTGCTGTGGACAATCTGCAGAAGTCCCCTCCTTAAAGAGGCATGACTGTTCCAGCAGTATAAGGCGTGTGAGGTACAGAGCTAAAGGCTAACACAGCAGATGAGACAGACGACAGTGAGTTTGAATTAGAAAACAGAAAACAGACAGAAGAGATAACACACTGCCAGCCATCTAATATAGATAAACAAACTGAAATGAAGTTCACACAAGAAAAAACAGCTTTTACATCCGCACCAACACAAGCAGCGACCAGTCAAACACAAACACATACACAAATACACACAGTACACAATTCTTTTCACTATTTATCATTGTTTGGTTGCACTGAGGCGTCATTTAGAACGTGGCTCTCTCAGCCTTCACATCCACAGATTAATAGAAAAACAAATGGGAAAAAATAAAAATCTTTGCTTGATTTGTCTTCAGGCCAACATGTAAGTATGTCTCACACTCACAGTATTGCACACACACACACACACACACACACACACACACACACACACACACACACACACACACACACACATTAGCAATAAGAACATCTATCACTATATGCAAATAGACGAGGCGAGCTCTGAGAGCACTTTAGTTTCCATTCCTTCCTGTGGACAGGGGATAAAAAGGAAAGTTGTACGGCATCAATCTTGCTGTACAATGGCGCTAAAACAACACACAAGTAAACTAATGCACACACTCGAACGCTGCAATAGCTTTTGTTTCTATTTGTGTATTCTGATATATGTTTGTCTTTCTTTCAGTATTTAAAATAAGTGATGAGGCTCCTCCATGTCCTGCTGACCTGCTCTTTGCACACAGGCATCACTCAGAGGGCTTATACTGTCTCACTGTGTGTGCACTGTGGGTTGTTGAATGTTCAAGCTCTTTTTTTTCACATGTATCTTGTTTAATACGCTCAGCACTCAAAGACAGGCTTTTGCTGAGACATTGTGAAAGTCTGCAATCGAGGCAAAGAAAGAACAAAGTAAAGGATGGAGGAATGATGGAGGGGAGGAAGGGAGGAATGGCAAAGTGACTGATGAGAGTGATAGGGAATTGGCAAGTGAAAGCAAGCAGTAAATAAAGAGACAGTGAACAAACAATAAAAAAAAAGTAAAGCTTGGGGAAGAGAGGGTAGACTCAAGGGAGGATGGATAAAAGGAACAAGCAAATAAGAGAACAAAGGAAAACAACATGAGAGGAAATTGAAGGAATGAACAAAGAAGAAGAAACAGGAAGAATATATGAGCTGTAGGAACGAGAAGAACAGGAGAAAAATGTAAGGAAAAAAAGGTTACTTTATAAAAACAGTACACAATCGAGGGAAAAGGCAGATCATACTTCCTCCTTGATCACTACATAAAATCCACTCTTATATCTGAGCCTGATGAAACCATAACATAAAGAGGTTTGAAGCTCTCAAGCCGCCTCACAGTGGTAACAAACAGTAAGAAGAGAGACATGTTGGGCTTTCAACTGCGAGTTGTAATAGTACTCTCATTATTGCTTTATTCTTGTCATAGGTCAAAGAAAAAAAAAATGCTTTGAGATTTTGCAGTGACGAGCATTTATTGAACATTTTAATTAAAAACACAATAAATATGTTGTAAGGGGAAAAAAAGTTAACATAACAAACACATGACTGATTAAAAGTTCATATTTAAACCAGCAGTGTCCTCCAGCTGTGTCACTGATGGGTTTAATGATTTGAGGCCTTTTGGGGATTATTAACCTGACTGGTTTAAATTTGGGGACGAGTAAGAATAAAAGCAAACAGAAATTGAGTAGGCCACAAAACTATCTCCCTCACACATTTTCTGTCATAACTGATACACACACAGAAAAAAAAAGACACCATATATAAATTGATCACTGTTATCTGCAGAGAGGTTAAACACCATCATACTTTGATCTCACCAGTGCAGCATCTTTAATCTACAGGTGGTGACTGAAAAACACTTCTGCAGTACAATGTACAGTACAACTTTATGTCATGCAAAAAGCAGCACTTCTTGGCATCTATTGACTGTTTGCTGGATTAGTCCTGTCCAGACCTGTGGGCAGTCGTGTATTGCAAAGCTGAAATCTATAAAAAGCAAAATGACCGGCCTTGAAACAAATGAGCCATTAGATGAGAAAATGAACGCATATTTAACCTGCAGAGTGGACTCATGGGGTCATTTGGGTTTAAAAATTATTTCTTTGAATTTATGATAAATTACTAAATTTTTGTTTTTTTTCTCTCTCTCACTTTCTCTCTGCAGCTCCAAAAGTCATCTCCTTCTCCTTTGACGTTGGAAACGGACCCGTAGAGCTAACGGTCCACTCTGCCACGCCCCTCAATGACGACCAGTGGCATAGTGTGACGGCTGAGCGAAACGTCAAAGAGGCGGTCCTTCAGCTGGATCAGATGTATCGGGTGAATCAGCTCGCTCCTGCACAAGGACACACACGGCTAGAGCTGTTCAGCCAGCTCTACGTGGGTAAGACAGACAAAAACACACACACACACACACACACACACACACACACACACACACACACACACACACACACACACACACACACACACACACACACACACACACACACACACACACACACAGTAAACACACCATTGTTACAGGTTCTTTGTGCCTAAATCATACATCATCAGTTAACCCATAATGGATTTGGATAAAAACATATATTTGTGCTGTCTGTGTTTCGACTGATGCTGCCCTCAGATGCACACATTCATTTTGGTTAAGTCTGATTGATTCAGATAACAGCCTTTTACTAAAAACAACCCAATTATCTCCTAAGAGGCCACAGTTACTGCTAATTAATTTAATGTTCATCCAACACACACGCACACACACACACACACAGCCATTTGATTCATTTTATGATGCACACAAATGAGAACACACACCTCACACTCACCCGTGTAAGTGATCACAGTTTTAATAAAGTTGAAGCTGAGCCTCTTGGCTGAATGTGAGGGCGTGTGAGTAAAGCTGAATAAGTTCCTTTGTAGAGGTCATTTCTTTGATACTTTAATACTTTGGCTCATCTTTCATATTACTTTGGATTAAGAAAGTATTATTCTAAAGCAGGATATCAACCCTTTGACTCTCTTTTCCCCCACACACACATGCTGTATCAGCTATCAAGCACTTATTATACTGTACCAAGGGTTTGTCCTTCAAAGCTCCATCTTCTCTGCGCAAAAACTCCTCAAGCTTGTCAGAACTTCAAATTGAGAAGATCTGTCCGCTTTTTGTCCCTTTGCTTTCTTTTCTCCATCCCTTTCTTCCCTTGCATTCGGGCATTCTAGCCTTACCTTCAAATGAAGACGGACAGGGGAAGGTTAAAGCCGGCAGAAAATTTAGAAACACAGGAGATAGTGGAAGATAAAGAGGTGAAAGCAACCTCTCATATCTGATCTCTAACCCCGTCTCATTTTTGAAGAAGTCTTTTCATGTTTGATGCACACATATTGAAAGAGTGTGTGGATCCTTGCAGACGTCATGATTTTGGCTCAACTTGTTTCCAAACATCCTCTTCCACTTCGCACACTGTCTCTGTTTGATATTGATTTGAAAGTCAACGTGGAAAATCAATTGGATAAAGAACGTTGATGACAATATAAGTGATCTGTTTGTAGGGTTTCACATAAACTCACAGCAGGGCAGTACAACAGGGAGCTTTATGTTGCTGCTCCTTGTTCTCATATCCGTCTCTGTATCGTCTCCTTCTCCCTTTCTCGATCAATATGCTCCTCATCAAGCGTTTGATTGCTTTAGTGTTTACTGCACAGTGGCTCATTTGCTCTAATGGCCCTGAGAGTAAATGTTATACCATCAGCCTGCTGTCGTTTACCTCCCACTGTTCACTTTGAGCTCTGCAGGTCACTTCATACATGCTATCAATATTGTCTTTTTTTATTTATTAATGCCACCATCTGTTCTTTTGATTTCCCTCTTGGTTAATGCTCACTTTTCTGATTACTTTGCATGCTGTTCATCAATGCTCTCGTTGTTTTTGTCTTTCTTTTCTTTCTCTTAATGTTCTGCCCCTCTCATCGTGCTTGTTGCTATTCACTGCATGTTTGGACACCTGTCACAGGGAAGCCAGCCTCACTCACCTGCCAAGACAGTAGGTAACATTTAATCAATAGAGGTCAAAAGGCTCCAGCAACGCTTTGAAGATGGACTTTATCAACTTCATTAGACCAACGCATTTCAGCTTGTGACCTTCACCAGGCTCAAGAAAGACATTACAAACATCATTTAAATAGGTTAGTTTTTTTAAAGCCAATCATAGACATCCACGTATGTATCAGCCAAGAGACATAGGCAATGGTGGGCTGGTTAGTAATAAATCAAGTTGATCTTCAAGCTTGTTGTTGGAGCTTTTTCACCTCTTCGAGCCTTTCACTCCTCTTGCACGTTACTTAGTAACGTCCCAACACTGGATATTGATATTAAATAAAAACTGTTACAGTGAACCATATAACAAAACATATTTACCTGATCTAAGAAATATGAAGGTACACATGAAGTTCAGCTCATACACCTCCATCTACACCAAACAATGGATATATCTGTAAAATGCTACCTTCAGTCAGAACGAGTCAGGCTCTTTAGCACTCCTTTTGTGAGTCTAACAAAAATATATGCAATAGGTTGTGAGAATGTGTGTGTGTGTGTGTGTGTGTGTATGTGCCTTTGTACCTCTGTCTGCCAATGTCTCTGCAGGCCTCAGCGCCTGCTCCATGTTTAATCAGACACTGATTTAGTCCTGGGTAAACAGGTGGCACAAACCTCCAGCCAATCAGAGGTACAAAATGGATTAATTAACAGGTGTGCTAAAAGTGTGGGGAGGGGAATTGGTGCCCGAAAGCCCACCTGCATCCTGATGCATAAAAAGTGAACTTGCTTGAGAAAACCAATGTACGTGTACCTTTTGATGAAGTAATCTTTAATAAGTCTGCGCTGTGTCGAGAAGCTATAGCCGATGTGTTCTGTGCAGATGCAGATTTCTTCCTAACATGTTTGCTTCAATGCATACTTCCCTATAATCAAAAGGATGCAGATGAGAGGTGTTAATAACTAAACAGTCCCTTGGCTCTTGTTCATGATGGTGTGTATTAGTGTTTATCCATACATTATAACCGTCCTCTGTGAGTTTGCCTCTGAATGATGTTCATGAGTGTGTTTATTGCTATAGTCATTTAGGCTCACATTAATCTATTTAACACCCTCCTCTGTCCAACTTAATGGATAGTTAGACAGTAATGGTGCAAGACCAGAATGATGATGGTAGCAGTTTAGGGGAAAGGCTATCGACAGCCCAAGGCGAAGCATTGATGTCTTTACTGACTCGTTCATGTCAGGTGTGCTCTGTGTGTGTGTCTGTTTTAGTTTACATGCCTCTGTGTGTGTGTCTGTGCTTGTGAGATGTTCATTAAGACACCGTGTTCATTAGAAGGTTTTAATTAGTGAAGAACTCAAACGAGTTGAAGGTTGTTTCAAGAGTGGCGTCACAGTCGGAACGATTAACGTGACATCAGTGGCTTCCTCCAGGCGTCGGGATATAAACGTTTGTAAAAGAGATGAAAACAGCCTCTTTTATTCAAAATGACTTCAGTAAGTTTGACTTCTGTTTGTCCTCACTTCTTTCTTTATTTCTTATTTCCTGATGCTTATACTTGATGCCACCATCCATTCCCTCCTTTCTTCCTCTTCCTCCTCAGGTGCTGCCGGGGGGCAGAGGGGCTTCCTGGGATGTATCCGAGCCCTTCGGATGAACGGCATCACCCTGGACCTGGAAGAGAGGGCCGAGGTCACGCCTGGGGTCAAACCTGGCTGCCAAGGCCACTGTACCAGTTTTGGGATGTACTGCCAGAATGGAGGGAAGTGTGTGGAGAAATACAACGGATACCTGTGTGACTGCACTGACACCGCGTACGATGGGCCATTCTGCACCAGAGGTAAGAGGAATATTTAGATAAGACCATTTAAGTTGAAGCTGCTACTAAAAGTGCACCACACTGCTTTCATCATCAAATCTTCAATTTCAAGTTAAGTCAAGCTCCCATTGATTGTTTTTTTCTTTTATTTCCATTTTTCTATCTCTGCAGGGTTTTTTTTTTTTTAATTCTCTTATGGTTTCTAACTGTAGCAGATAACCCTTTGTGCAAACACATCATTTTTGTTGAATTAGCCTTCTGCTCACAGAGCCAGAGTCAATTAGCGCTGGAATTACTGCAGGAGTAGTTTACTGTACATTTCAATGAGCCTCATTGCCTGACAGCCTGCTGTGTTTTTTGCTGTGCTCCATGATTTTTCCCCACTTCCTATTCAGTTCGACGCTGCTGGTGTTCAAAGTGTTTGGGCTTATGATGAAAGTTATTGATTCAGAGTGATATTGTGTTTACCTGCCGATTCTCCTCAACATGAGCGTGCTCACACTGAATGCTAAAACTGTGCGGCTGCAGAGCCTGGAGAACATTAAACCGATTAACAAAAAGCAAGTCCTGTTACCGGGCAGCGTGCAGCTCTACATTTTTAAAGTTCAGAGATGAGCTCCAGCACGGTTGCATATTGTCAAAGCTTCATATGTGTTTCTCATGGATTCATTAGATATAGTATGGAGAAGAGAAGCACAGCCTTCAGTCAGAGAGTTGATCTCCATCACATGGATTCATTTGTTTTGCCGCTGTGCTCACAGCAGTGGGGGTTATTAAATGAGATGACAGAAAGGCAGAGTGTGGTGACATGCTTGTGTAAGACGTGAGAGGGCCTCTTCTGAATTATTTTATAACCAATCTGACATTTCAGGATTTGAGTTGTCATTCAGATAAAAGGGACATCCTTGTGTTACTCTGTTGACTCTCCATTTGCTCTTTTGCCTCCTTCTTTCCTCCTTCACACTCATTTCCTCTTCCAGTACTCATTGTCCTTCTTTTCTCTATTTACCTCACATTTTACATGTGCCTAATGTGCCTCTCTCTCAGGTAGCTTTGACCCCTTTCCTTTTTTTCTTCTGCTTGTGCTATACTCTTCTTTTCAACGTTTCTGATCTCTGCTTTCCTCCTGTTCTCTTCTGTTTTGTGCCTTCAGCTTATGAATCAGTTATTACTCTATTTCCTTAAATGAAATCAACCATTTCTTCCACTCTCTTTGTTACAGTCTCCTTTTCCTTTGTGAGTCTCTCCACCACTTCTTCTTTGCATTTCTTCCCCTCTGTTTTGGATTCCTCTTTCTCTCTCCTACTCTTTTCCTCTATGTTTCTTCTTCTTTGTTGTTTCTTCCTCTGCCCTCTCCTTTGTTGTATACTCTCCCAGTTGCCCATCTCCTGTTTTTTAAATATTTTCTTTCTCTTCTTTAATCCCACCTCTGTACCCACCGACTGAAAAATGCATGAAATCCAGCCATAATTGCACAGTGCATTTCCAGTGTTTCTGTATTTACACACTGCTCAGGGGATCCTGCGGTATTATTATTTTACACTCTTGTTCTTGTGCTTTTCTGCCCTTGAGGATCACCAAACTGATGTTCACATGAACATAAATATACAAACATACACAAACATACAGTAATTCACAAAAACACACACACATTGAGAAACCTGTAGCGGTTTCTATGCTGGAACAATTTCCCTTTCCTACACTTCTCCATGCGCTGACATAAAACACACACACTTGTGCACGCACACACACACACACACACACACACACACACACACACACACACACACACACACAAGCACACATACACACAAAAAGAGTCTCTGCCCTGCAGCAAAGGTTTCTCATTCCCTCTCATGCTTCCAGACAATTGTGTGTGTAGCTGCTGAGACTTAGGGCAAATAGTGACAGTCTCTTCTTCTCTTCTCAGCAGGTTAGAGTAGACTGAAGCATGTTGGATTTGACTTGTCGCATAGCTAACTTCATTTTAGATGCATCATTTCAGTAGAAGTAGGGCAGTGGATCTATCTTGCTATTTATCGTCTGTCCATCCGTCCGTCTACTAGTCCCTTTGCACCTTCCTGAATAAAATGTGTTCTTGACATATCTTTTTCCTCATTCCATCTTTCCCACCCAGACGTTGGGGGTTTCTTTGAGGCAGGAACTCTGGTCAAGTACAACTTCATGCCTGAAGCAGTCGCAGGAGCCAGCAGAGACTCAAAGATCCCGACGCACCAGCTCACGCCACAGGAAGTGAATCTAACAAAGGAGGAAGTGGCCTTCAGTTTCAGCACGTCCAATGCTCCAGCTATTCTGATGTATGTCAGTTCCAAGACACAGGACTACCTGGCTGTGGTTTTAAGGCACAATGGTGAGATTCTCACATAATTCTTTGTTGCTCATAGCTTAGATTTCTGCCTAAAGTATGTTTCAGAACACTTTACAAAGTTCTATAATCTCCCCCCAAATCCACTCCAGTACACAGAAGTATAAAGAAGTAATACAAATAGTTAAGTGCAAACTCATATTTCAGCAATCAACTTTAACAAACACCCAAATCAAATTAAAAGATGCCAATGGCTTCAGCTTCACATTCTCTGTCCCCCCCAACACATGAGAGCTATGATATCATCCAACATCTTAAAAAAAATATCTAAATGTTGGTAAAAGTGTTTATTTATCCAAATGCTTTGGTAATAAAAAGATAGATTACTATAATTTTTAGTGTCAACAAGAACGTCTTCACTAATTCCCAGATTTTTTAATTGCTTCTGCTTCTCTTCAAAATTCATTTGAATAATTCAGCTAACTATCGATGAGAACTAATGCCGAACTTGTTGTGCAGAGATTGAGAGCTGAAATGTGAGTTTGTGTGTTTTCAGGTTCACTGCAGGTGAGGTACAACCTAGGAGGTCTGAGGGAGCCGTTCTCCATAGACGTGGATCAACGTAACCTGGCCAACGGACAGCCACACAGCATCAACATGTCCCGAGTTGACAGAAGCATCACCATCCAGGTACAGAACACACAGACACACACACACACACACACACACACACACACACACACACACACACACACACAAATGCAGTGATAAAAGTGCTTGTCTTCTACCACTGCTAATCCACTTCCAGTAGACAGTCTAAGTATAGCAGCTGAGAGAATGCATCGATCCATGTGTGTTTATGCGGGTGCACTCTGCTGTGTGATTGTTGCTCTCACATGTAGTTGAGAGTCTGTGTAAGTATTTAAGGGGGAGCATTATTGTATACTGTACAAGACACCAAGCACAACTGTGCATGTTTGCACATGTGCATGACATTGTGTTGGTAATTGAAAGTGACTGTCATTGTTTGGGCTTGTGTTTGTGTGTGTGCCTTTGAGTTGTGTGTCTCTTAGCAGCACAGTGTGGATCGATACAGTCAAGCCTCAGTCAGCTGTCGAGGATGGAGGGAGAATTCGGCTTAACTATGAAGGACTTTGCTCAGTAATAACATATCTGCCGGCTGTAAATTAAGGAAATGTATTTCTAAATCCTGCAACTATTGGTTGCCTCCAGTACAGAATACATGTGTGATTGGTGGATTGTTATTTTTTTGCAAAGATAGGGATTGCATTTTTTTTCCAAAAGAGAATGAAAAATAAAAATCAAAGTCTATATTTGAACCCTGCACAACAGTTTCTTCATGGATTTCTTCATGTGTCATTTCTCAGTTGAATTCCATGTTTGCACATCATGTTGTAACATAACTGCTGCACCCTTCTGCTTCAGGCGTCGGGGTGAACATATCATGCCTTTTGCATTCACTCATGCATCCCATCTGGACAATGACAGGAAAGTATTATTCATGAAGTGTATGTTTGAAAGGAGCTATAGTGTTCATTTCAGCAACAGGAGGCTGTTTGATCCATTAATGATTAAGGAAGAATGTGCAGAGTTGAATGCAAATGTTAAGGTGATTCATTCTATTTACAGAAAAATGAGAAAAAAAAACATTTTAGACTAAAGTGACAATTTTTGAATCAGTTCAGTCGGTATTCGAAATTGAACAAACTCATTGTTATTAGGCGTTTACACTCATCAGAGACCTTGTTGTTATCATATTTCATTTGAAGTACCACATGAGTAAGAGGCAGTGGAGACCGTAAAAGAGCAAGCAGACTGTTCACCTCTCTCCTTCCAGGGTTTGCAATTTAAAAGGCATTAGGACAATAAATTGTTTTTAAAGACTATGAAGAAAAAGCGGGAAGGTAAGTAGGAGTGTGGTAACCACACCGAGGAGCAGAGGAGAGGTGGAGAGAAAAAGAAAGAAAAGAAAAGAGTCAGAGGTTGAAAGAGAAACATCCTGTCTTTAGATTAAGAAAAGTAAACCCACAAACTAAGATAGCAAAGATCATTTTGATTATCTGGGTCATCTAACACCTTCAGAGCTCTGAGGCTCAGATTTACATTTTCACAAAAACACATGCTGAAACATACACACAGCCCACGGAGCTGTGTTAGGTCTTTTTGCACTCTGTGAGGTCTCATCAGGTTAGCTCGCTACCAAAGGAGAAACACAGAGAGATCAAAATAAGTCCCAATCTCTCCATCTCTGGCTCTCAACCTCTTACACTCGACCAGCTTGTTTAGGATGAAAGAGAGGAATCCCTTCAGGCAACAAGATGTCTCATCTTTGTAATTGAACTCACAGGAAACAAAGAAAAAGAACATTCAAGGTGTCAACCGCCTTCAACTGTTATTACAGAGGGAAACTTTGTATATCCAGGTTTAAATGAAGAAATGGACCTCTGTCCTTTTCTGTAGTTTTTTTTAGAGTTTTTTTTAGTTTTTTAAATTGTGTATGAGGTTTGGCTAGTAATTTGTTGTGGATTTGCAGGCTCGTATTGCATCATATTGCATCGTATCGTATCATATCTTTTTTTACTGTCTATTCAAGTAAAACAAATTGAGCTGCATTAGCTTCTCCGATATTTAATGTGTAATGGGAATATTTTCTGTGGCTAAGATTTCATTAAGGAAACCGAGCTGCCAGATAAGGAGAGACTTAGAATTTTTTAACTTAGAATTATTGTGAATATAAACAGAACATTGACTAAATTAGATTTTCTTTGAGGACATTTTTAGGAAATAGATTCCTCCCATTGTTCATTCTCTCCTGTTGTCCACCCGCTGATTACTCTGCTTATGTGAGCTTTGTGTAGACTAAGAAGCACAACAGAGTAAAAAGGAGAACATTGTGTTGTCTAAATAGCTCTGCGTAAAAAGAAAGCGTCCCAATGACTGTGATTGTAATTGACAAAATTAGGCCAATGAGGTTTCTTCCTCAGCCATCTTCCTCTGTGGACCATTTTGTGGGCTTTGGAGTCTCAGACCGCCGCCCCCCGCCTGTGCAGCCGATTTGATTCAACAGATAAAAGTAACTAAGCTGAACAAAATGTAATTGTGCCCCATTATCCCAACAAAGGCTACAAAATGCTGCTCTGTGGCCAGCTTTTTGGAGAAAAAATAAAATTACGATATATGGTGTGTCTGTGAGAAAAGGCCAGCAATTAGTCTAAATCATGGTGGGGGTAGAGATGATTCAAACCTGTAAACAAGAGCAACTGCAGACACACACACACACACACACACACACACACACACACACACACACACACGCAGATCAGTCAGTTCAGCTGCCAACTAACAGGCAATGACAGATATTCAACATTTACAGTATTTCCAGGTTTGGTTTATATTCTGCAGACAGTTGCATGCCCCCAGAACAGTCCTCCTGTGAGTACAGAGACACAAAGGAAAAATATATTTTATTACTGCAACAAAGAAAACAAATTGTAGGGTTAAAATGTATCTGTCAACGGCAGCGACTGCAGCCATCAAGATAATTAGATCGAGACTTCAGTGAAACAGCAATAACAAGTTAATTACTTTAAGGATATTAAAGTGGTGTATTCCCTCCTTCCATCAGCACTCTCACTTCTCCACAGACATGCTTCTTGATCTCTCCTTGTTTTTACTTCTTTGAACCCAGCACAGACTTTAGAAATAGCATATTGTTGATGATTATTTATCTGTAGTCCAGCTTTGCAGCGTCATTAAAGAAGATCGCTTTTCAGTTTGCATTCAGCTTTACTAAAACCTCGAGTGAAAAATACAATCAAGCACTATTACATAGGATGTTTTCTTTCATCAGTTTCATGTGCAATGACGTGTATTTTCTGAACAAGATAGAAAAGTCTTAATCACTATTTTGGATCAGGGTACAGCATGCATTTGCTCCTTGCAAATAGAAAGCGAGCAGTAACAGATCATTTGAAGCGTAAGGATGATGGCGATAAAGATATTCTTAACTTTCATGGAAAAGTATTTCTGTGCTACTTCGACCACTTGCATGCAAAAGTATTTTCTTGCCAAATTCTGACTTTGCTGAGCAGCATGTCTTGAAAAAAAGAATGTGTTGAATGCCAGGCTAGGAGTAAAATACAGTCTATTTAGTAACACAAAGGTTTTGGATCCTAGCCTCTGACTGGAATCAGGATTGTTTTTGTTATTGTGATCTTTTCTTCTGTATGTTTTTTTTTTGCACCTTTCAACAGCTTTATTCCTACCTTTCCCCCTTCTTATCCTTCTCCTTATTCATTCTGTCTGTTTTAAATGTGTGCTTTAGTAACAACAGTATGCCCTTATACACTTGACTCTCTGTCATACTTTATCTATATATCTTTAAGTTACTCCTCTCGAAGGCTCTCCTAAGAATTTAAATTCTTCAGCTCTTTAAAAGACATGAATGCTGCGCTACCTTCTTTACACTTCTCCGTATTTACTCTTTACAACATGTTTGTTCACATGTTTCAGCGTCAAGGTTCTTCAGCACTACTATAAATCATATCAATAGCTTTCAAGCAGTTTACTTCATATTTTTTTAATGAACAATTTTGTGTTTCCCTGTCATTTATAACCACAAGAGGGAGCTCTAGTATTCTGTTCAATGTGCTGATGCAGGTCTAAGGCTGTGGTCAGTAGTTTTACAGACGATAAATAAAGATGTTCCTTTATTTTCTCTCTTTGTCTCTCGCTCACAGTTGGATCATTACCCTCCTGTCACCTACACCCTCCCAGACTCCTCAGACACACAGTTCAACCTGGTCAAGACTCTGTTCCTGGGCAAAGTCTTTGGTAAGTATAATTATCTTTTTTTTTTTTTTTTCAGTTTCTCATCTATTTGTGAATTTTACAACTTTATCTTCATCCCGACAAAATATCAAAATACTTGTTTGGGAATCTTAGAGTTTTTTTTGGAGTGTTAATGACCTTCATTTTCAAAATGTCTTGGTATTAATTGTACTTGTCACTTAGAAAGGAGTCTGAAAAAAATATTTTCATGATAATGTAATGTCTTAAAGGTTATTCAAATTTAAAATGGTTGACTCACCCTGAAGACCCCAATTTAACCAAGTAGCTTCAACCAGACAGAGTTTTTCATGAGGCAGACTCTGTGCTGATAGCTCCTCTGTATACAAATGAAAGTATTGCGTATTAAGCAGTGTTGTTCTCTGCATTGTTATATATAGGTTTTCTGTTAATGAATATACAAACCCCTTTATATGCAAACAAGTTCCTGAATGGAAAGTACATTCAAACAGATCAAAATATAATACACTATACTCTAAAGGGCCTTTCAAATAGGATGAGGTGCTCATGCTTGCGGTTCTTGCACGCTGCATGGAAGTGAAAACATTTTCTACATAAGTGCTGCGCTCCCCGACATCAACTTCGTGCGTCCAACAGGAGGGTAGCTCAGATCACAACAAACGGTGTCTCACTTTCCTGAGCTCTAGTTTAAACACCTACCGGGACATCGGCAAGAAAGCTCTTGTTTGGAAAGATTTTTCCAACAGTTTTGGCTTTTGGTGTCGAGAAGCACTTTTTGTCCTGGGTGTTGTGTTGTGAAGTTGGTGGGAAGGCTGAGCCGTCCTGTAGCAGTAAACAGAGGGATACGGCAGGGCTGTCCCATCTCAGGCCAGTTTGTACAGTGTGGCCATGGAGCGGCTTCTGAGTAGGCTAAGGATGCAAACTTCCTTGTCCAGATGCAGGAAGACATCCGGGAGTTTAAAGACATTGTACACTTAACCTTCACTTTCTTACTGAAGTCAGAGAGTCAAGATGGACTGAGGTTTTCAGCTCTGACTTTACAGCTGGCGGGTTCTGTATAAGCCTCCTGTTGAGAAACGGATGGCTGAATCCAATGAAGGATTATTTATGGAGCTATAGGTACAAACAGACACAACCCAAGCACTGGGGAGGGGTCCGTTCTGTTCACTGACAGAGACTCTAGACCACTTAGTTGTGTCCTGTTGGTTGTTGGTCAATATAGCAGAAATCAAGTAGGCTATATCCCATGTAAATATCTGGCTGTGTTTCTGTCTGAGACAGATTTACATTGTGTTTACATGGTCAGTACTGCTTGGTGGTCTCATTAAACAGTAAAACTCTAGTCTATCAAAACAATCAATTACCCCTGCTTCTGTTCCACCCTGTGCCTCTGTACAGAAACCGGACACATAGACCCCATCCTCATCGAGCGCTACAACACCCCAGGCTTCATTGGCTGTCTGTCACGGGTGCAGTTCAACGAAGTTGCCCCCCTCAAGTCAGCACTGAGAACTGCTGCACAGGCCCAGGCCACGCCAACAGCCACAGCCAATCAGCCGAACAGCCAACCTGCAGCTGCCTCTCCGGGGTCGTACCAGGGAAAACTGGTAGAGTCCAACTGTGGGGCGTCACCTCTCACCATCCCACCCATGTCTGCTGCTACAGATCCTTGGCATCTGGACAACACAGGTACGGATTACTTCAAAAGACCTCATCTGTATTTCTGCAAGTGTAATAGATCCCTGCTTGCATACCATTATGCTCCCTCAATCCTCTACATACTGTATGTCCCTATATGTACACACACACACACACACACACACACACACACACACACACACACACACACACACACACACACACACACACACACACACACACACACACACACACACACACACACACACACTTATGCCTTTCAGCCTCCCAGAGAAAGTTTATTCCAGGGTGCTGCCAATTGTTGAATACAGGAAGGATTTGAAGTGGTTTGTGGCATGTGCACAGCAGCTGAGTGTCAGTGTCAGGACCTTTAAGTCTGGCTGGAAAAAATAGCTGGGGAGAGGGACGTCTAGGTCAACTGGCCTGCTGCCACCATGACCTGGCCTTGGATAAGCAAATTATTTTTGTCCATATATTTCACACACAGATTCATACAGTGTATCTATTCAATAGGTTTTAGGACTGGAAGGATTTTAGTTTATATGTGGATGTATGAAATGATTCAATTTTTGTTATCCCTCTTTGCAGATGCAGAGTTCCCCTTTAATGAGGAGAGAGTGATCCCTGATGGAGTCAACAGAGACTCAGCCATCATTGGAGGTAAAGAATCTTAACAGGTTCATTTTTAAAACATTCTGTGAAAGAAATAAACCACAAATGAGTCAGGCCTAGACCACATGTAGGGGGGTATTTTTGAACACTTTCGTACATTGTTTGTACACGTTTGTTTTTCTGTTAGTGAAAACACACCTTTTGGAAGATTTTCAGAAATGTGAAGTGTTTGTGTGTGGATGGGGGAAAGCAGAGTTTTGGCTTGTAACTTCTTAGTGTGCGGGTTTCTCCTCTGTTTGGAGTCATTGTGTCACTTTCGTTTACATGAGATTAGTGCAAATGTAACCAAACTAGAGCTGGTGTTAACATTGGAGGAGGAAAACCTCCGTTTTTAAAGTACCGGCTTATGTGTGGAGAATTGGTAAGAGTTGTTTAGAGAAGTTATCTAAGATTGCTAGAATATTTAGATTCATCTATTCAGTCTCATGTAGGCCAGTACTTTCTAAGTTTAGGGTAACCTTTGTTATTTTGTGAATTCATATTGGTTCAATCAATCGAGAAACAATTGACCACTTCTTTTTTTTTTATTATTTTGAACTCAATTGCATTTTTCTGAAAGGTGCTATATAAGTAAAGTTTGATTGATAAATATAAAATATATATATATATATATATATATCAGGCATCAAGCATCACTGTTGGTAAAGGCATTGTTACAAACATTGTTACAACTGACATTTTTTTAAACAGATAGCAACAGTTACAAGAGCAAAAGTAAGAATATATATTTTTTTTTTGTCCAATCAAATGTGTAAAACTTCAAATATTCAAGTTTCTGTATTATTCTGTAAGGGAAAGTCAACATTTAGTCAATATTGAGAAGCTGGAACCAGTGGATATTTGGCATCATTGATTAAAACCTGGCTAAAATGAAAATGTACTGTATTGTTGTCAATCAGAAAAAACAATAATAACCAAATGTTTAAGCTCAACATGGAAACCTAACTCTGAAGTGGGTGATTTTGTTGAAACCCACAGTACTATTAATCATAACACAAAATAGCACGTGTATTTGTGTACTTAGTGTCCTTGTCCTCTGCAGGTATCATCGCTGTCGTGATCTTCACCATCTTATGTACACTGGTGTTCCTGATCCGCTACATGTTCCGTCACAAAGGCACCTACCACACCCACGAGTCCAAGGGCAGCAGGGAGTCTGCAGGAGAGTCACCAGACACAGCCATCATCGGCACCGACAACCCGGAAACCATCGAGGAATCAAAGAAGGAGTGGTTCATTTAGCGGCCAATGGGAGGACTCTGAGAGAGGATTAATGTCTTGACCTCGTGATGTTTTTTTTTGCGGTGGAACAATTAACAAACCGGGCTCCTATACTCGCAATGGTGTTCATTCAAACACAGACAACACTTTATGAGGATTTTAATGTTTTGCAAATTTGTCCCAAGCAGAGCAACAGCGGTATTTTTTTAAGCTTCTTGTCTGTTACCTGACAGAGCACAGGCTGAAGTAGAAAAACTGTGTGGGAGTTTGCATGGATGAGGCTCAGACCATGGTGGGGGAAAAGGAAGAGATTTCTGGCGCTAATCAGGAGGGACTCACCAAATGTGCAATGGACACGTTGTGTTGTACGCAGAAAGGTGCTTACATAACAGCTGATCAGTCCGAAACGTAACAAGTTCTTGACTGATCGTTGTTATTGGCATCAAATCAGAGGACCTGAAAGCAAAGCTGATCCCTACACATGGTGAGACGGGAGCTGGACATACAGCTGTGTTGTTTCACAGCAAAGTGATATGGCTCTGACAAGGTGAAGTATTGTTGTGAGTCTTTGAGCTCATTGCAGCTACTAATGCAATGACAAGAATATCTTCTTCTTGCCAAATATCTGCAAATGTTCTTTTTGTAGAGATTAAACTCTATTTTTTATCCTTTTGGCAAAGTGATTGTTCATTGTATTTAAGTTGTATGTATTTCGGGGGTAAAAGCAAACAGACTGATGTTCCTAGTGTCGCACAAACGGGTTTGATAAAAAAATAAAAATAACGGGAAATGTTTTTTTAAGCAATGTCAGTACAAATGTAATTTAAGTTTTCTGATTTTTGAAACAGCTAACAGACTGATGTAGTGGTCTTGTGACAAATTACATTAAACATTGTTTGATAAAATTTAACTGGGAGTTGCTTCATTTTAGCAAATTGATCGCAAATGTTATTTATGTTTTTTTCATTTTCGCTACAGCAGTGTAGCTGACAAATATAAAAACAAATGCATAGACTTGTTAAAGTGGACATGACAAGCTGTCCAGTGGAGAGAAGCTTTTAGAGCTCCCCCTGCTGACTTGTTGCAGTATGGGTCATAAACCCCGCCTCCTCAATGATAACAGATGGGACATGGGCCAAACTGTAAAATCAAAATAGCCATCAAATTTTCTTTTCTCTCCAAACCTGATCAGAATTTATTATCAGAATAAGATTTTTCTTAATATTTGAAGATGACTGACATCTGCTGATCTTGTAGTTCTCTTTGGGAATAGCAAAGCTCTCATCACTCCGGGTTTGTCTATCTTGAAATGACAAACTGAGTTGTTCTGCTGTAGAGCCATCTAACCGACCTGTGGGATATAAGGATCCTTGCACTGTCTTGATAAGTTAAAATGTGTATTTATTTGTTGTTCAGGGTGAGGTCATTAGCTAGCTAGCTAACACTTAACCCTTGAGTCTCTGCAGCCAGCATTCAACGTTGTCCAGTCTGGTCTGAAGGAACTAAAGTTGGTCCTAAACAATGATAAAACAAAGCTCATGTTGTTTTCTCATTGAAGTAAAGTACCAACAAATATCCCACTGATTACAGTTTCCCAAGGAAATCAAATCCAGTTTATGTACAAAAGACAAGCTTGTCTTCACACTTAACCATTTCCTTGCTCGATCATGTTTCCTTCATTCTCATTTCTGCTCTTATAAATTATTTTGCAGAGCCTGCATGCCTTCAGCAAACTTAAGCACCACACTCATTTCAGTGTTCTCTTGGATCAATCCTTGACGAAATGCATGTAAATTTCCCACAGCTGGATTCAAGTTTTAGAGCCTCTAAACATGGCACCTTATCAGAGTTATTCGTATGGATTGTGAATGCAGTGAGATGCCAGAGAAAGCAACAGTGAAGAAGCAAAGAATAACTTTCAAGTTTCATGAGATTCCTTTAGGGTAAAGTGCATCACCTTGACTCCTAAAGAAGAAAAAAACGGTTTCTTACCCCCAAGGGTAAAGAGCATTTTGGCTTGGCTGAGGAGGTGTGAAGTATAAAAAAAAGGGTCCTCTGGGTTTGTGACTTTGCTGCTGCAGGAGGCTTGATGTTGTTAAAAAGTTCAAATCACTGGAGGTCATTTCCAATTTGAAAGTCAACCTCAGAAGAGTGACAGTAAGAAGAAGGGAAGAGGGGAAAAGGAGGAGCGAAAGTAAGCAGGAGATAGTTCCCCCCCCGTAGGGACCTGGGTTGGGAACCCAAGAGAAAGAACAAACTAGAGAGAGTACAAACTATGCACTCTGTTCACATATATGTCACATAGGGCTTATTTTTAAACGTCCTTGACACCTCAGATACACACAGTGACATCACACAATCCAAGCACATACATATTCCAGGAGTAGACATTCACATTAAAATTGTGAAATGTAAAAGGCTTACCCTGCACACCAGGGAAAATGTAGACATCCATTTTTGTATTCTCCAATGAGAGTCTGGATAAGGATTTTCTGCAAGAGAAAGAAGCAATAGAAATATACAGTAAACATATCTAAGAGGGGATCTAATACAGTTCGGAGAAAGATATTAAACAGTGTTTGATTCAGGGAATCTTAAACTCATATTTTACCCTTTGTGTGTGTTTGTGTTCTTCTCTGCAGCCAATTTTAGGATTATTTGAACTCCTGGTTAAATCTTTAGAGTACATCTCGGATATGTTCAGTGAGAAAACTGAGAAACCTGAGTGTCGTCAGTCAATTGAAACAGCCATGATTGACGAGGCTCAAAGTTGTGATTTGTTTAGCTATATCTTTGCAGACTACTTTTTTGTTCTTTTCTTTTCTTTTTTTTAGGTTAATGCTCAAATACAAGACAGACTAGAGATACAGAGAACTATATGTTCCTGGTGTCTCCTGTACAGTTCAACATGTTGTTCCATCCCTGTTGACCTTTACATCTCTAGGTAAAACTTGCCTTTCGGCTCATGACTTTTCCTTCCTCCACACTCACAGACCAACAGGGAGCTCACATAAACATTGACCTGATCACTATCAGGAGAGATGGTCAGATACACAACACCTTTGGGGATATGAATCATGCTAGCATCACGTGGTTAAGGCAACAGGAAAAGAGACGAGAAATGCACTTTAGTGGGTTTTATTTTGTTAAATATAATTTAAGTGTATTTTAGTGTATTGTTTTTGAAGATTATGAATGAATAAAGATTCATTATGTACGCAGCAGAACAAAAAGGGAACCGAGAACTGCATCTCATACATATACACACTGTTGTCATGAAAGTGCAAGTGATTTGTTTTTGAGTTTGCGTTCCCCTGAGACGGTTTGTGTGTCAGAGTGAGGAGGAAGAAGCAGAGAGAGCAAAACAAGTGTGACAGTGATGTGATGGAGTGTGTGTTATGATCAGACGCAGACACATCGTCTGTCGGTCTTTGTTAGTGTGTGGTTGTCCCACACTCAGATGCTGCTTGTGAATTAATAATGTACTGTATTAATAATTATTGACTCGACACATTGACATCACCCATTGTTTTCTTCAGTGCCTACATACAGCCATGTTCGTGAGGGCACTCACTCTTTCTGCTCAGTGAGAGTGGTGAGTCAGTCAACTCCCTGCAGTCAGGTGTGTGTGTGTGTGTGTGTGTGTGTGTGTGTGTGTGTGTGTGTGTGTGTGTGTGTGTGTGTGTGTGTGTGTGTGTGTGACTGATTGGTTTTGATTAAGTCCAGGTGTGTCCAGTGCTCTGTGCTGACTCATTATCTCACCTTCAGAGGTAGTGAGAGTCTCCCTGGGTGTTCTCTAGTCGTCTGTGTGTGTACATTAACACCAACAAAGAACTTCTGTATATTTGTTTTCCATTGGCAGTCTCCCAGAGTATAACTCAGGGTGCTGGATAGTGTTGCTTTACTCCAGCCTTTTGTGTTTACTGTCAATGCTTTCCTGGCAGTCTTTGCTTTTTGTTAAGTGTTTTCTGGGTCTCCTGGACAATTTGGTTTTGAGTCAGCTGCTTGACAGCAGTGGTGTGGTTCATCATTTTGGTGCATTATTTAGTTTATGAAGCTTGTTTAGGCTCTATACAATCATACAAAACTTTGAGACACCCCTGGGTCCGCACCTGCGTCCCACTTGACAATGTTGGTTTCATAAGGTCAGAAGTTAGCGTATTTTGAAGTAAGGGTGGGGCTGAAGAGGAGTCATTGAGAAAGAGCCAGTGTGCTGTGTGTTTCCCACACAGTAAGATTCCGATTTTTTTTTACTGATTTCTAAATTATTATTTTTGAATTATCTTTTCAAAACGTTTAGAGCTCACTTACCATTCAAGTGCTGCAATTGAGAAAGTATGTTACATCTAGGGGGCGCACTCTGCCTGAGCGACTCCTGACACGGCTCTGTGTGTGTGTGTGTGTGTGTGTGTGTGTGTGTGTGTGTGTTTGTGTGTGTGTGTGTGTGTGTGTGTGTGTGTGTGTGTGTGTGTGTGTGTGTGTGTGTGTGTGTGTGTGTGTGTGTGTGTGTGTGTGTGTGTGTGTGTGTGTGTGTGTGTGTGTGTGTGTGTGTGTGTGTGTGTGTGTGTGTGTGTGTGTGTGTGTGTGTGAAGTAGTGTGTTTTTCGACGTTTTCATTGTATGTCCTCTTGTCTTTTCCTGATTTTGTCAGAATGTTTACAGCAACTGTGTTGTATCTAGTCTGCCTTCGGCTACTGATCACTAGTTTACGGCATGTAAAGGGAATCTGGTCTCGATTGGCGCAGCCATTTACCAACCAAGGTAGGCTTGCCTACTCACAGGGCTACTTGTTGGAGCTGAGGTGCTTTCAGCCAGAGCCAACGCAGGTAGCCTTCCTCACTAAAGACATACGTACCTCTTGGGTTACTTCGAGGAGACAAGCGGAACCAAATACGAAGGAAAAGAGGATCAAGAGGAGGGATACGTAACAGGCTAAGGAGGAGAGGCAGCTGGCTACCTTTGCCTGCCATAACCCTATCCAACGTGCAATCGCTACAGAATAAGGCTGAGGAGCGCTCCACTCTCGTCAGGTTCGATCTGGATTATCGGCAAACCAGCTTTTTCTGTTTTCACAGAGACACGGCTGACTGAGGATGCAGACTTTCATCTAGATGGCTTTAACATCATTCGCTTTGACAGAGATGCGACGAAAATGCGGAAGTCGATTGGGGACAGGCTCTGCATGGCTGTCAACTGCAAGTGGGAAACACACTTCACAGTAAGGGAAACTGAGTGCTGTAAACACTACTAAATAATGATTGTGTCCTTCAGACCACACTATTTACCCAGAGAGTTCTCCCAGATTACTGTCATTTTAGTGTATGTACCAGGGCCTGATTTCAACCTAGCTGCTGAGCACATAGCTGCTTGTTATAACAGAGCTGTCAATCAGACTGGTGAGCAGCCAGTGTTTGTACTGGGGGACTATAACAGGTGTGACATCACCACATATCTGCCCAATGTGGAGCAATATGTCACAACTCCAACTTGTGCTATGGCAACATCCCTGGTGCATAAATTTCAAAACCACACCCACCTCTTGGTCGCTCTGACCACAACGTCATCTTGTTACTGCCAAGATACAGATCGCAACTGAAAACAGGAAAACCCATCACAAAAACTATCAGAGTCTGGAACAAAGAAGCAACTGAATCACTTAAAGGTTGTTTTGAACTGACTGACTGACTGGGATTTGTTTTTGAATGACTGCGGCAGTGATCCCAACATGTTGACAGATGTATTTACCTCTTACATTAGATTCTGTGAGGACACTGTCACTCCAACCAAACAAATAACCATTCATCCAAACAACAAAAAATGGGTTACAAGGGACATGAAAATCTGCCTGGTCCAGAAGGAAATGGCTTTTTTACAAAGAGACAATCTTAGGGTAAAGGAACTAGAGAAAGAG